CCAGAGGCTAGTTCCCCTCAGTAAACACCCACACCTTCTTATCCTCCCCTCCCGCAGCCCACACCCCTCCCCCCTCTCCCTCCCCAGCCCCAGCCCCCTCCTCCCTCATAGCAGCCGGCCTCCAATCCAGGGCCAACATCTTCCCCCCTCCCCCTCCCCTGTCAACCCTAACGACCTCCCTCCCAGCTCTCAAGTCCCAAACCCTAACAACTCCCGCCAGCGTCCCGCTGCTCACTAAATGCTCCATCCCCGGCTCCGGGTGGGGGATGACGTTATTTACCGGGGAGGAGTGGGCAAGGGTTAGCGATGTTAGGGCGGAAGAACGTGGGTCTGTTAGGGTTAGGAAACGGTCGGACGTCCCTGTTAGAAGGTGCGGGCCGGTGCTGGCTAGTGTGAGATGTACGCGGTCGGGCGTCGTCTGCCCACCGCATCAGCAGTCGTCACCCAGAAGGAGGGGGGGAGCGCACCTTGACGACTCTGGCAACCCCGCTCTCCAGATCCCACACTCTTACGCTCCCGTCCCAGCCTGCGGACGCGAGTGCATCAGGGGTAAACACCGCTCGTGAGACCTTGCCTTCATGACCTCTGAGCAAGAGCTGGGGTGCTTTCCTGAAGACTTCATCTGCAGTTCCCGTTCCTTCTCCTGTGGAACGCAGCTTGCGTTTCTTGCTCTTCGGACCTAGAGCTTGAAGTTCGACATCCTCCGGTTCTGCGAGCTCGTGCGATGTCGGTATCGTGCTGCTGAACACGCCTACAACGCCGTCCCACGTTGCCGTAGCCAATCTCGCCCGATCAGGAGAGACAGAGACACTCGACACCTGAGCTTGGGAGGTATGGAGCGTCGTTACCCACTTCGGCGCCGATGCCGGGTCGAGCGGATGTGGGGGGAGGAGCTGGAGGTGTACGGTTCGATCTTGGGAACTGCTGGCTAGGACGTGACCGGATGAGTTGGGGGATGGGAATGTGAGGACGGATGTGATCGGTGCGGTGTGGGTGTGTAGAATGTGCCGTTCTTCTTGTGCCAAAGTGTATATGCGGAGTGTGTGATCGTATGCGCCTGTTATGATGGCATGTGGGAGAGAGAGGGAGAGTGCGCTAACCCAATCATCTTGTTCGATCTTTCCCACTACTTTGGGTGGTAATACGCTCCTGATATATTCTACTTCGAGTAGTTCTTCCGCACTGACCCCATTGGCGCGCATCCATCCTCCTATTGAACCGCGCAGGAGATGAGAGCGTATGAGAAAGTCGAAGGGTACTGGAGGGTTGAGAGATAGAGAAGTGTTTATGAGCTGTGATAGATGATAGCGTGTGAATGAAGATGGGATGAGGATACGTGAGAGTGGGAGTGGATAGGCAGTACGCGTCGTTAGTAGGAGTGGGACTGTCTCTGTCAGTGCAGGTGTTGACGTCATCGTCTTATCGCCCATCGTCGTTGTGTGAGTCGATCGAACGAATGAGTGCACTTTCCTTTTCGGGTCAGGAATGAAATATTCACAGGAAATACTTCCGCTCACGTGATAAACGCATAATCCATACATCACGTGAGAGTAGAAGGTCGTCTGAGCAGCCCTACCCATTCGCGAACTGCCTTCACTCTTGCACTACAGCATAGGCGCGTTGCTAAACACTGGGTGGACTAAGGTTGACCTTCTCAAACGGCAACCCACAGTTGGATCATCTGCACACCCCTCCCCTGGCATCTCGAACCCCCTCCTCCGCTTGCCCTACTCGCCCATCTTCTGCCCTCGGACCGTGTTGCCCATCCTACAGAACATACCCAACGTGGTGTTCGACAGCGTCTCCTCCCAGTCCACAGACCCCTGCCTCAGCTGCTCTAGCGTCTAGCGAGTGCATCCCGCTTGACGTCCGCTCCCTGCGGGTGCTCTTCAGTGCTGTTCGGTCGTATCTCTGGCTGCTGATTTGGCCCCGCCTCCTCGGTTCCGTTCACAGACAGTGGATTGAGCTGGTAGATGAATGCTTGTTCGGTACTGGCGAACATGCTCCGGGCTTGTTCATCGAGATATGCCTCCCCTGTAGGAGTCGTTAGCTGCTTTGAATACAATTCACTCGAGATGGTTCTATGGGGAGAGAGACTGACCCAGTCCCGTAAATCTATCTGATTAGAGGTGAGGTTCAGGCAGAGATACCATGGGTGAACCGTAATTCATCATGCCAGTGCTGAATGTGGCTCATCGCTTTAGGGTACCTGATCCCATACATCCGAAAACTGTCCAAGTGGGAGGCCTGAGGCTTCGAAATGCTCTTGGAATGAACCTGGAAGAAAATCCATCGTCTGTTTGAGGTGACGGTCCTGAGGAACACCAGTACCATCTCTTGCAAGAAACGAGTCAAGCAGCTGCATCCGATGGAGAGGACTCATCCCGTTGGCACCACACAGATGTTCAAGGTTCTGACCAAAAAACTTCAGGAAGTCGATCCCCAAAGTTGGCCCGTGCATGGGCAGAGTATATCCCAGACTGCAGCGCTTGGTCAAAAACACGAAGCAGTAAGAAAGGCTGGTTGGTAGCCTTCTCGTAGCGATTCATCTGTACTACATCCCCAGCAACGTCCTGGTAGCGCTTAAGTGCGTTGCAACCCTCTGTTGTCGCACCCAGGAAGATAACACAGCCTTGATATCAGACGCCATAAGCGCGCGGGATCGGAAAAGGAGTAATCAGAGAACAGGAAAAGGATCGCAAAACATTTTCTGAACCGGAATGCTGACGTGGCGGTGTGTGCTGGCGCTTCATAAGTTGTGAACTGCCGAAAAATTTGGATTCCAGTGCGCGGTGGATTCTCCTCCTTCGATATCCAAGGTTGATCCTGTCACATGGGATATCGCTGTGTCCCTGTGTGGAAGTGGATGGCATTGTACTCATGCTCGCAAGTGGTGGAATTCGATGGACGAGCGAGTCTGGAGCAGACACACTGACCAGAATTCCTCTCTTGGTCAGAAATGAAATATTCCCCTTTAAGATACTTCCGCTCACGTGATGACGCGACATTACTCCATATGCATACGTCACGTGAGTATAGAAGGACGCGTCTGTCATTCCCGTAACATCACGCGTCAAGGGTCCATCCACATACATAACACACCAACACACAGTTGCTGCTCCTTCTCCTCCTCCTCCTCCCCCCCTGCGCTCCTCTCTACTCCTCCCTCCCTCTACCTCACTGCCGACGATGACAACCCCCATTCTCCCTCTCACACCCCTCTCAGATCAAGACGAAGAATTCGGATTCTCACAACCAGACGACATCAAGCGTCGTCGTCGTACAACACCTGAGGAACTCTCCGTACTCGAAGCGGAATACGCGAAGAACACCCTCCCAGATGCGAAGAATAGAGTTAGGATAGGGCAGATGACTAATATGTGCGTCTTCTCACGTTTCTTTTTCCTGCCTGTGTCGAAGTACTCATCCCTACTAGGTCTGCTCGCTCCGTACAGATCTGGTTCCAGAATAAGCGCCAGACGGACAAACGAAAGGCACAAGGACTCACCCGTCGACCACCCCGTCGAATCCCAGTCGGCTCCTTCTCACACCCCCATTCCATTCTCTCCTTAACGCGTGACTCCTTGGGCGAAGACGAGCAACAGCGAAAGAAACGCAAGACCCTTGAACAAGCCGCATCCGAGGCCCAGCGCAGAGGGCCGACATCACCTTCTCTGCCCGGGCTCGGACTCCCCAGGAATGGAGAAGAGTTTTCCGCCGCACTTGCTATTGCCCGCATGCAGTCTCATTCCGTACCGTTCCCACCCCGACGGCCACTTGGCCAGCTAGATACCAACGCCCTCCGCCCGGGGTTGTCAAGGTACGCGAGCAGCACCCTTCCCCCCTCTTTTTCCCGCACACCAGAACCGCAAGCCTTCGTGCGCGCATACTCCCTCCCTTCGGCACATTTCCCCACCGCCCATGGACAAGGGACGAAGCAGGACCCAATTTGGGAACGGATGCTCTCCTCGCCCCAGTCTTCACCTTATGTGGCGCCTTTTGGGAGAAAACGGCCGTTCGAGCATACTCCTGGGTCGCATTCTGTACCGTTTGGTGCACGGAGGGAGCAGGAGTCGCTGCCAGAGGACGTGACCGACACGTCCGACACATCTGATGTGGAGGACGTGGGGTCACCCTTGCCCTTAGAAGCTTCTCAGGGTTCCACCTCGTCTAGGCAGAGCTTTGCCACCTCTATTTCCGACTCCGGCTGCTCGGATATCGACCCTGACGAACAGACCGAACGATATCGCTACAGCCAGGTCAAGTATCATGAACCTGAAGAAGCAGAGCAGCCAGTCGAAGCAGAAGCAGAAGAAGAGTCAATTGCTAACATCCTAGATGTGCCTGATGCGGCAGGCATCCCCGACCTGTCATTCGATAGCGTCTCCTCCCAGTCCTCAGACCCCGACCTCACCACATCCTCGATCGACTCCCTCCCGTTGCTCCTCAAGCCCCACACCTCGGGCAGCCAAGAAGTTCGACTCCTGGTGTCAAGGGAAGGAGAAGGCGGGCCCGTGCGGCTGAGTATCCGTATTCCGGGAGACGACTGGTCTACTGCCGGGGAACGGCACAATAACAGGCCGGGGGGGAAGGAAGAGGGGAAGGAGAAGGAGAAAGTCAACGCTTGGGAAAAGGAAGCGGCCGAGTTGTTGTGTTTTATGGCTTCCGGTCGGGGCGAAGGGCGGTGACACTTTCTGCAAAGACCTCCGGCTGCCTGCTTCTGGTCCGACTCCGTCTCTGGCTGCGTCAAGAACTGAATCAAAGATGAAATAAATGTATTTTTTCTCGTTCTCTCTGATTTGATCTTCCCCCATTTCCCATTTCTCTTTCCCTGTTTCCTGTTTCCTGTTTCCTTCTTTTTTCGCCTCATTTCGTTCCTCTTCTACTTTCCTCCTTTCGTCTTTCCGGTTTCGGGCCTCTCCCATGGGTCGACTGCAACTCTCTGAGTCCATCAATCTGTCATACTTTACCACCCTGATGCTCCCGCCTTCACCCCCAGTTTCCCCCTCATCATCTACCCATTCATCTGCATCCACACCGTGCATACCGGCATTACACACCAAATGTACATACCTATCGTGTTTATTTTACCCTTCTCAGACAGATGTTCCCGATACCACCTTTCCAAAGAAACCTGTGGATCAGGACCGGGACGGAGACGAGACCGAAAAGTCTCTCTTGCTCTTGGGGTGAACTTGGGTGTGCTGAATGCATGAGTTGGAAGAGGGTGCTCTATACCTCAAGGTTTGCTTTAAGCAGGAAAGAGGAAGGGCAGATCTCTCAGCGGGGGTTGGTGATCTATTTTAGAGTAGGGCGGGAGGAGTTCTTCCGTAACTCTGTGGAGAGGATTCGGCTCCGATGAGCAACGGTTCGATCGTTTCGATCACACTCTGCTTATGACGTCATCAGCTACTTCCTCGCATCAAATCAGAATGCCCATTGCCCACATATCAGGCCTCAAAGCAGCAGCTTCTAGTTTCTTTCTTCCTGCCTTGTACCTTCACATCTGGTTAATAATATTGTTCCCACTAAGCTTCTACTCATTCAATTCTGTTATCTTATCTGAAACCCCAATGTCAAAGCAATCCTGAGCATTCTTTTAATCTGGTACCAAAGACGGAGAGTGCAAGAGAGGATATCGACCCGAGTGAAACGGAATAAAGGAACAAAGCTACCGTATAAACCTCATTCTGTTCGATGAAATGTGGAAGGCCGATCAGGCCAAGAAGGCTGGTGACCAGGAGGGGTGAGCTTGGGGGGCGCGAGGAAAAAGGGACGAGAGCGGCGGTCTAAACACCCCAAGCGTTCAGGAAGATTATGCATGTGTATCTGGCTGCGAAAGCAAATACGAATAGCGATGATAGAGTCCTTGATTCAAAGCACTGGATTACATTAGAACGGTATCAGAATGTCGCTTGAGATATTTGCCAGAGCTGAGGACAATACCTTTCATATTCACTGCCAGAAGGTGTGAGTTCGAGGAGCGCACGAACCCTCGGGAAGAATGACAGCGCTTGATGCGCGTATAGTTCGTATTTCCTCCAAAATTCTCCACAAGGAAGAGACAAATATAGAAACTACGCATGCCCACTCTCCACGACCTGGTAATCTAACATCAGGCCCATCCCGCTCGCTTCCACCCTCAACTGCGCAAGCTGCCGCAATAACTCCGCTCTTTTCTGTAGGAGCTCGTGCTTTCTTCGTCGCTGTTCTGAGGGGGAGAGGATAGGTGCGGAGAGGTCTTGAGCAAGGCTGCGGGAGTGGGGAGGCGTGGAGCTCGTGGTGTGGGAACTGTGTTGCAGGGATGGGTCTTCAGAAGAAGAGAGGGAGGAAGTGTGAGGTAATCGGGTCTGTTCCCACTCGGAGACATCGTCCACTACGCTCAGGTATCCCTGCCCGGACTCAGACTCCAACTCGGACTCCTCGTCCTTCCCTTCTTGCCCTTCCTCCTCTTCCCGCCATTCTTCCCCCTGGATCGTCTCGCTCTTCATCCACGTATCCGCACCACCCCAACTCCCTTTTCTTCCGTTCTGTCTTCTCTCCACACTGCCCAGACTCCCGACACTCGACTTCCCAGCTAAGAGAGGCGTCACACTTCTCCTCCCCGCCATGCTCAATCTAGACAACGCCCTCACCTCCTCAAACGTCGCGCTCGGAGTGGCGCTCCTGCTCCTCACAGGTGTCGGGGAAGGGGGGAGTTGGAAGGAGGAGCTGGTGGTGGATGTACGACTCGAACTTGCGGAAGAGGGGATATTGTAAGATACACTCCGTGGGATAGGGGTGGGAGCTGAGCTTATGGGGAGTGCGGAGACGGAGGACGCACGCGAGGTACGTGTGAGGTGGACGGTACCGGCTGACGTGCTCGACACGGAGGTCACAGACATGCGGGAAGGGGCAGATGCGCGGCTGGACGACCGCACTGTTGTTGGGAAGGATGATACCGACCTTGCAGGTGGGGACGGTTGCAGTCGTTTGGGCGTCGATTGGTACCGTTCTGGTCTTAGCCAGCCGAGGTGCTCCGCTGCCCGGATGAGAGCTGACCCCAGGATGTACATCTGCTCCTCTGTCTCTCCTTTTGCGATACCATCGGGATCGAGGTGGGACATGTCTTGATCGAGGATGGAGGACAGAGAGCGCAGAACGAGAGTGGTGGCGGTTGTTTGCCAGGCGGGGGTACGCGGGCGTGGGTGAGGGAGGGGCATAAGCGGGTGGGACAGGAGAGACTCGGTTATAGCGAGTAGAACTGAAGGGGTGAGATCTTGCTGTATAATTAGCGTGGGGGAGGGTGCAGTGGGGAGGGGCGTACCAGTGATATGGATGATGCCGCCTTGGATGGGTATGTGCACTTCTGACAGAAGGCGGTTGAGCATGGCGAGGATATCCCAGCGTGCGGGCTCATCCAGCCTCGTCTCTGTGTCGAAGGCTAGCGTCATTAACAGTTACAAGATGGTTGGTATTTTTGGTGGTGGTTTATAGGTCAGTGAGCGATGAGTGAGGGTTGACGAGTCGACGACAACGACGACAACGACGGCGACGGCAATGGGGAGCATGGCGAGAGGGGTTGGAAGGGCACGTGATGGAAAAGGATCGTAATCACGTGCCTTGCGCGACCCATTAACTCCGTGGACCCTCGCCAAGACCGTCTTGGTTCCAACGTGATCGACGCATTCCTCGTTCTGTCTGCAATACTTACCAGCTGAACACAACGACAATAAACGCGATCCGATCGTGGGCGAACGTGATCAAAACGTGACCTTGTCGCGACTCAGACGCGATCTTGAACCGGAAGCAGCCTGTAAACACCACGCATATATAACTCTGGGTGTTTATGTTCAGTACTGCTCATTCGCCCCTTCCCCCTTCCCACCCCCCCCTCTTCCTACATCCACCACCATCCTTTAACGAATCCCCAGGTGCTGGAGTGAGATAGGGGTGAAAGGAGAAGCAAGAGGCGTACCGGGGACAGAGAGTCATGAGCAAATATGAGCGCTTCTGAGAGAATATAGATGATTACAGCCATCATGCCGACACAGGTGTTAGACATGTATGAAGCGGTCATCTTAGCGAGAGTTGGGAGCGCAGTTCATATCTCCTGCCTAGGAATCGTGTCAGGGCGGGAAATGATGATGCCGATCACGCACGTTGGTTTTATGTCGGTGCCTTAAGGATCGACGCTAACGCCGTAATCTCTCTCTCATATCGGCTCGCCGAGGTAGAGCTTTTCGCGGATGACGAGGAGAAGAGGGTGAACTGGGGGGAGGTGAGCTTCACATTGGGTGGAAGGGGAGTGGACGCACGACGAAGACGAAGAAGCCGAGGAATACGTTGTAAATGGGCACGGTGTTCACGTCGAATCGCCAACAAAGTAATGGAAGAGAGAGATGCGAGTTGGGTTCATATCTCGTGCCTGAGACACATGTCAGAGTGGAAACTGATGAGGCTGGTTGCGCACCTTGGTTTCCAATTACAAGTGCTGTGTGTGCCTCCAACCTGACGAAGGAGTACAAGGTGCACTCCAAGAATAGGGAAGGTACAGACAGCTACAGCAACGCAACCAGAGACAGAGGCACGGCTGGTAGACAGAGAGAGTGGGTGTTCAACCTGGGGGGGAAATCAGAACGGGTACTATGGGAAAGGAGGTTACACGCACAGTTACTAGAGGTAGACAGGCATGCATCGTATACTCCTATGGATTGGTGTCACAGTGATGCTGATGGAGCGTGAAGATATACAAGACGTACCTAGCGGGCGAAGCGCGCAAGGCAAGGAAGGAAGGAGGGAGGGAGGAGGGGAGAAGAGACAAGAATATGCAAGCAAGGTGCTCAGGGCTACCAAAAAAGTGATAGTATCTCTCTTCTATGAGTACGTGGGAGTTCGTCGCATGATGGTGGTGAATGTGGGATGAGGGGGGAAGGGGCGAGTGAGCAGGACTGCGCCTGAATACCCAGAGTTATGTGTGTTGTTTACAGGCTGCTTCCGGGTCAAGGTCGTGTCTGAGTCGCGACAAGGTCACGTTCTGATCACGTTGGCCACGATCGGATCGTGTTTATCTTCGTTATGTTCAGCTTGTATTAATGCAAATAGAACGAGGAATGCGCGTCGATCGTGTCAATGTAAGACCGTCGTTGGAATGCAGGGTCCATCTCAGACCGCACGTGATGGTGATTCCCAGCTCACAACCCTATAATGAGGTACCCTTTAGGGGTATTTTTCTCTTGTGCCCAAAACAGGCGGAAGGGGGGGTGCTGCAATGGCATGCTGCAGCAAAACGAGTGGATTAAGTAGGTAAAATGCTGCAGCATGTGTAGTATGACATAAAACATGAAAATGGGTAGATAGCCAAATTGAATATCCCTATGCCTACCAGATATTGTCAAGCTGTTCTGTAAGCTGACACTTTGCCTCCTTCTCCTTGCGCCTTTGCAAGCATTTAGCCTCATCCTCCTTGTACTGCTTCAGCATGTGCATGACACCTTCACTGACCTCAGTGCTCCATGCTTGCATCACCTGCTGCACGAGGTCTTTTGATGCTGCATGCAGTTCAGCACCAGTAAGAGCTGTGACTGCTGCAGGGGAAAGTGCCTTCATTTCATCCAATGTCATGTGTGAAAAGCTCTGTCCCTTGCCCTTGTTGGAGGACTTCTTGGATGTGTTTGTCTGACCACGAGCAATTGGTACTGACACAGCATCTGCCATCTTCCATTGCTTTGGAGGCAGCTGCTTGTCTGGTGTGTCAGCATCAGACTCCACAGGGGAACCATGTGGACAGCCCTTCTGAGGCAACGTATCAACCATGTCAACCTCAACCATGGGAACCAACTTTGGCGCACGTCCTGTCTTCTTGTCCTTAACTGGGTCTCTGTTAGGGCAACACAGGCTGACTAAGTCTGCTCACCTAAGAGTGCCAAGAGTCTAAGCAGGCAACAAGGAAGT